ACCTATTGAAATCCACTTGATCAACTTGATCAGGTTTTGCCAGAATGTAAAGAAAAGTTGAAAATATATATCAATGTGAAAAAAGATGTGTTTCATAAAATGGCTTTTTGTGCGCAGTCACAAACTATTTTCTATTCTAACTTCAATTGAAATAGCCTGTTTCACAAATATAAAAAAAGATTGATTTTGTCACGATGTGATAAAACAAATGCCCATTATACTACATGTTGATTTACATTAATTAGATTTGTTGATCTACTATTTAAAGTAAAAAAAGTAGAGATAAAGTTAATTTTATGGTCATGTAGTTCATACATATGATAAATATGGCAAGTTTAATGATCTTAACCAATTAACTATTTGTTTTTATACAATATTTAAGGTTGGATTGGATTGATGATTTCTCATTAGTCATTTTTAAGTTTATATTTCTTGCAGAAAAATAAAAATTGATATTATAATATTTCTAAATTATTATCAGTATTAAATCAAACATTAGCATTAATTTTTCAAATACAATCCAGAATTAATTGATTAACTTATTTATTTATTATAAATAAAATATATTAAAAATTATGTTATCTAATTCTAAATTTATTATATAAATTACTTAGTTTATTACTATAAAATAAAATAAATTATTAATCTTTTTCATTTAATTTATTTTCATTATTTTTTCTAATTAAATAATCATTTGAAGATCCACTAGCAGCTTTAATATTACAAACAAAATCAGCATCACTACTATTATGATTATTACTACTTTCACCATCCTTTCCACCACTTTTATTACTGCCATTGTGCCCCCCATTATTTACACCATTTGTATACATTTGTACAGCTATACAACATGTCATAGCACCCAAGAAAAACCATATTGTTGGCCTATAACCATCTATAAAGAAATAGCTTACAAAGGAAGAGAAAAACATTGCCATACTATTTGCATAAACTTTTGTTATGCTACCAGAAAATTTGATTATGGCAGAAGTTATTAATCCCATTGAGCAAGCTGCTCCTATAATTAAAAAATGTATTAAATATAAAGACGAAAAGAAAGTTTTTCCCTTTACTACTACTGCATCACTGTCATCCTCATCAAGTTCATACAATCCATCACTATAAAAGGAATTAAAGTGGTAAACACCTCCATTAAATAATATTCCAAATAAATAAAGCTTAATATTTTGTAAATGCATTGACTCTTGACCAAATTTATCTTTCATTACAAACTCTGTATAAACAGATGCACCAGCTGATATCGAAGCAAATATGATGATCAGAAGAAATCCTAATGGTGAAACTGAGAACTCAAATGCACCATCATTTGTAAAATGTATTTGAGCCACGGTTGTACCAAGAAACAATAAACATAATGAAGCCCATTGAACTCGAATCAATTTCCTATTAAGAAAAATATGTGAGAATAGACCAGTGGTGAGAATTTTAAGATTTCCAAGGACAGTGAATGTAGGTGGATTCATTATTGTTAATATTATAAATGATAGATTATTATTGATGAAATATGCAAAAGCTGGCAAGCCGAATAATAATGTTGTAGAAGATGTAAAAATTGATTTTAAAGCTCTCATCAATGGTTTTAGATTAATCTTAATTGTTGAATTTTGATTAGTTAATTTTTCATATTGAGGTGATAACATCGGCAATACTGATGGAAATTGAAAACACTCTAATTCAATTGATAAAAACATTATGGATACTACAAGGTAATTAATTAATTAGTAAAGAAGGAGAAAAGAAGAAGATATTTAAAGTGAAACTACCGCTTACATATAATTTTAACAAGCTCGACAAGGAATAATATTTGAGTGGAATTGGGTTTAGTTTCTTCTTTTTTATTAGCAATTCCAACAAGTAAAGAGTCTGAAGCGTAAAACATACATAATAAAAAAGAAAGTAGCAATGTATTTGATTCTTTTGTAAATATTGAATTCATTGTCATATTATGTTATTGTTTGTCGTTGTGAATTAAATTTTGATTTTCTTGGTTGAACTTTTTTTTTTTTTTTAAAAATAACTTAAAATTAGTGGTTTGTTTACTTAAATTACTTGAATTAATCAATTTACAAGTCGTGTGATATCACTTGCTTTGCATAACGTATGACGCCACAATTGTACTACGTAGTAATTTTTCAATGCTTCTTTGAAAGATAAGTGTTTCTTTTCCAAAGGGCACAAGGTGCATTTCTAATCCCGAGAAATACTCTTGAAGTAGACTATTCATGTTCCCAGTTTTTCCTTGGCTTGCTTAATTAGGCTTAATAATATGCCTTTGGATTAAAGTATCTTTGGACAAGCTAATTTGGAGAGCCCGTCATTTATTATTATACTTGGAACTTTTCTGGTACTCTCTTGGGTAAGTTTAAGCCTTCCTTTCGATCAAATGGTTTTTTTTTTTAAAAGAATATACTTGCAGATATTTTTTTTTGCTTTCTAAATAATTATCCTAATATAACCTACAACAAATAAGAAATTAATTTACCATAGAACCTTATTAAAGGTATTTTAATAAAGGAGAAAATTGCCCTTATGGATTTAAATTAACCAATACTCTACATTTAAGGAAAGAGAAAATTATCTATGAAGCCAAGTAAGAAGAAAGGAAAATATTAAACACTGGAAAAAGAAAGCCGAGATACTCCTAATAGTAATGAAATTAATGAAAATGTGCAAAGTGTTTAAATTAATCTGGGGTAAATACTTTATTCTAGTCAAAAAGGCTTGTTATAAAAAGCATACATCAAAAAATTAAAGCTGAGGTGGAGTGATTTTGGTCTAAAGCAACATTTTTAATATTTGGCTTATTTTCATTAGTAACCGACTTTTGTTTAATCCAAATAAACACTTAATTAATGTTTTAATTGACAATCTGTCAAAATGTTGATAAAATAATAATAGTCATAAATATTTTGACATTTCAAATATTTGAATATTGAGCGATAATAATTATGAATATTCAAATGTACTTTTATTTTTGATCAGAACCTCTAATACAAGTGCAAGAGCATTTTCTTTATTTATAAAAATTAATATATATAATAACGTAAGAATAATACAAAAACTCCAAAAATCAATGCAACATAGAAAATTTTTTCCTTTACATAATTAAAGGCAATAAAAACACATAAATATGTTCTTGGGGATTTATTTTATTTGTATACACAAAAAAAATTATCTTCTTGCAAGACAAAAAAATTTTTTTGTTGATTTCCCCCATCAATCACTATATGATATTAATATTCATTTGCCAATTAATAACTAATCAATCCTGGTAATGAATTTTTAATAACTATTATTAAAATAAATACATTACATAATAAAATTTTCTTCATTTATTTGATTTATCATCACCTTTTCTGAATGTTATATATATATAAATACCATTTTCAAATACGTGATCCAAATCAACTTTATTTTATCCAGAGTTTGGCCTTGACTTTTATGAATACTAATTACCCAAGCAAGTATAAGAGAGATCCATTATTAAATAAAATAATTTTATATATGCACAATGAATATAAATTGAATATCTATCTGCTCACCAACGGCTTTGAATTTCCATTCAACTTCACAGAGAATCAGCTCTCTCTTTTCCATAAACCTGACAATTGCAAGTACTTGTCAAACCCACAGTCTCACCTTCACCATCATAATAGTTTTGTTTAGTAACTACTGAATAAAAAACAACAATTAAATCTTTTTTGATATTACTATAAGCATCACATTTTAATTCTAATTCATTCATCTGGTGTCAAATAGCTTTTAAGAAGTGTTTTCAAATGACCATTCTTATCCAATAATAGTCTTTAGCGTGATATTTATATGTTTTGTTTTGTATTTTATTTAAAAATCTAGAATTTGCACCAGTAACTTTATGGCATCTATTAATTCCACAATGTTTGTGGCGCAGAATTTTTTGATATGGATACACAGTGAAATTCGATTTAGCGGATAATTTCGGTAAAAATTTTCAAAAATCCGTTAAATCGAGATTTAATTAGTACATCCGTTATATCGAGAAATTTACTATATAAAAATG